TCGTATATAAGTGCACTAGACAGTGAGAGAGACAGACGGAGTCGAAGCAGGCAGAGAGAAGGAAGACAGCGATTACGGTCGGCGGGAACCGAGGATAGCAGACACAGAGATCGGAACTATAGTTTGCGGGGACGGACAATTAAGTCTAAGCGCCATAGAAAGTGAGTGAATTGTTGTGAACTATACTGTGTGTAACTGTGAAAATTAAGTACATTACAAAGTTGTATTGAGGAAGACTAAACAACTTTTATAAAGAAAGAACTTGTATCTTAGAAGAATTAACAAACAAACATACAGAGACGTAACAACACTATTACCCTCATCTACATCAGTAGTAACCTTTTTAAATAATGTCAAATTATTTGTAAGGCAATATTTTCCATTAGTGAAAGCATACTGACTATTCAATAAAATTCTAAACTTAGTTAAATGACTTTGCAAAACATCTTTCATCAGATTTTCCAGAACTGTATGATAGTATAGTGTAATTGGTAATTATTGGTTTTCATGCTCTGTTATCATAATGATTCCATGAAGTTAACTTACACAAAGTTAAAAAATTTTTCGAATAATTTAACACAACAAAGTAATATGAAGACATACAGATGGGTATTTATGCACCTTCACTATACCTTGGTTATTCGTCAAAATAAATGTGGTCAATATGGCCGCCGAACCGTGCCCCTCTGTATATATACCCTTGGCTACCGATTATGACCTTGCTTAAAATGACCACTGACCAATGCTGTTAGGGAAAAGAGGTCACGAAGTGACGCCGTCTACTGAATAATAAAAAAAAAGAAAAACGAGTTAATATTCAAGATATAAGAGCTATTTCTTTGTTCAGTTAACTAATAGTCGATCCAAATGGACCTATCCTCTCTCATTTTGGAAAATTATCATGTTTGGTTTGGAGGCATCCGATCCCGAAAAAGAAGCAAAAATGCTAAACATTAACTAGAGGAGAAAAGACTGTCCTATTGTTTGCGAGGGTACGTTAGCTGTTCAATTTTTTTTTAATTAGCACAATAAACAATATTAGTCATGCTATAAATGTAGTCGTATGGTTTCTTTGTGCTACTCCTAAAGAGAAAACAACCAGTCGTTACGTCTCCGTTCGTTAGTTAATTTTCCGTAATTTCGTTCCGACGAAACTTTAGCGACACAAGTCCTTTCTTAATAAAACTGGTTTATTCTTTACGATACACTTAATTTCAACAGTCGCGCTATAACAAACGCTACATCTCACGTGGAACACTTAAAACTGTGTTTTAAGAAATTAGTTTAATTGAAATACTTCTTCTATGTTTTATTTTGTATTTTATTTTTCGTAATATTTAGTTTAACAAATATTACGCTAGGCGGCAATAAAATATCAGAATGTCAAATAAGCATTTTGAGCTGTTGTGAATATTGAAACATAAAAGGAGAAAACAGTCAAATTATTATGGCTTTATGCTGTGATTGTGAAGCTTTAGATGAAGCATTTGAAAGGTTAGACGTTTCTTTGATGCAAATTTTACAACAAAAAAATTGTAATTGACAGAGTATAATTGGTGACGTCCGGCATGATTTTTGTGTAATTGTAAAGTGTAGACTGTAGAATCTCACTCAAGTTACTGGTTATCCCTACACCTACATTGTTGTATTTTTCATGATATTTATTTTAAAATTTAAATTATGTATTTTACTGTTAGTGTATCATTTTTACTGTAACGTTTAATAAAATAAATTTAAAAAGATTGCCGAACATATTTAGCCAGTTTTGTTTGTTTATTCTTTTGTCTGTTTTCTTTTTACGGGTGGAACGAGAGTTACAGATTTATGACAATTTTTCAGTGTGAACGGGTCTCTCTACCAATTTAAAATAAAACTGAAGATAAGCTATGATTTACTTTGAGCTCTCCCTACGTGGTGATTTACAAGTTACAGGGTAGTACAGCATTCGCTATTTACTTTAAATTGTCATATAACACCAACTTTACTTTCTACCACCAAACCAAGTTCACTATTTTGGCATTAAAGTTTAGAATGCAGTAACAGTAGAAAATGGAATAGCCTAAAATCTAGATACCCCCTTTTATCACTGAGAAATAATTTTTTTAAACAATGCTTTAAAAAAAATGAGTGTTGGACTGATTGGTTGAATATAATCGTAGTCCAAGAACAGAAAACTGATAATGAATGGCAGGCTGCATATTTATTTGTAAATTATATTAGGTCATGTGATTTACAAGACACCTTTAGCTTTGTGTTTATAACATCCCCCCCCCCCTAGATATAAGTTTCCACATTCCATCTTGTGTTTTTGAAATAATATCAAAAATCAAATTACTTTGACCAATGAGAAAGTCTGTTTAAGTCACTAGAGTGTATCAGTTGAAATAAACACTTAGTATGCTTATTATATCTTTCAACAGTTCTAATTATATTATCAGACAACCCAAGTTCACAAAATTTACTTAAGGAGGACATTGTTTGAGACCCAGTAATAACAAGTCTTTGAATCCATTGCTATCATGATAACCTTATACATTTGATAGATGGGTGACTGAATAACAAACGTCAACTATGTTGTTTTCACCAAACAACCAGTCAACCTGGTCACTTCACATTTCTATGAGTATTGCAGTTCTTGTTGGTTCAAAAGTTTTAAAATTATTATAAACTTTAAAGATATGTCATTGAATACATATTGGTTCATGCATATGATCAATTCCTCTTGTAAATTTTTTTTTAGCTGTTTCTTCTTATCAACCTTGTAAGATAACTACAACCTTCACTCTGTCAAAATTATTTTTTTGTTGTATAAAACATATAGTACAAAAAAAGGAATAAACTAGAAAAAATATTAAATGTGAATAAGAACAGAGTATCTTTGGTTCATCATAGCAATTTTACTGTAGACATAAAGACTAAAATTGTTATGTTAAATTTTTTTTTTATATTATGAAGTAAATAACCCAGACAAAATGCAGTTCTAGAACTTTTATGTTTAAATTAAAGCAGTATTTAAGCTCTTACACTTTTTAAACACATGGATAACAAAGGACCATTTGGTCCATCAGAACTTTCCCTGTATGCATTTGAGAAAAGTAAAGATTTAAACTCACCTTTTATTGTACATAAAATCATCTGTTCATCTCTTGTAAGGTGCTGAAAGTTACTATTGCCGACATTCATTACTGCTGGCAGTTACTCATTCAAATATTTAGCATCCTGTTAGAAAGAAGAAAGAAAAAAACGTCTTTACTGGAACCTAGCCTATTTTTTATATCTTAAACTTGTATTTTCTTGTCCTAGTGTCTTTAGAATTTAACTTAAAGAAACTGAAATCCTTTCCTTATCTCAAGAGAAACTGGAGATCTTAACCTATCTTTATAAGTTAACCCTTCCATCCCCAGAACCATCCTATAGTTCACCAGGCTAGATGGATTAAAGCATATAAAAATTATATAAAGTCTTCATTTAAAATCTGCATATGTAATGAACTTTAACTTAATTCATTAGAAAATGTTAAACTATAATTATCACCTTTTGTTTGTTTGTTCAATTGTTAGATATCATACAGGTTTTATCATTATACAAAATTTACAATAGAAATTTAGTTTTAAATTTGTATTATTAGATTAAAAAGTAGATCTTCTTCTAAAACAAGTTCATCATAATGTGTTCAAACTTACCAGATATAAAAACTATCTTAATCTCACAAGTTCATCCTAATGTGTTCAAACTTACCAGATATAAAAACTATCTTAATCTCACAAGTTCATCCTAATGTGTTCAAACTTACCAGATATAAAAAACTATTTTTATTCTCACAAGTTCATCCTAATGTGTTCAAACTTACCAGATATAAAAAAACTATTTTTAATCTCACAAGTTAATCCTAATGTGTTCAAACTTACCAGATATAAAAACTATTTTAATCTCACAAGTTCATCCTAATGTGTTCAAACTTACCAGATATAAAAAAACTATTTTTAATCACTTTCCAATTTAAAGACTGATGCATATTTACAGAAAAACTTCTTCACAAAGTACACCTTTAGCTTTTTGTTAGGTACTGTTATTTCATTGCTTTCTCCTTCGTATACATATGTGATTGGGATCTATTCCATTTGGTGCCTACCAATCATAGAAAAGCAAATGCTTGACTCTTATCTTTGTGAATTTATATTGAGAAATAGAAACAAAGATGAAGATTTATTCAAAAAATATTGTTTAATATTGCAGAAATTGCTAAATAAATATCATGTTATGTTTTATTATTTTATTTCATTCCATTACTGGTGTTATTTTCAAAACGATCTGTTGGTGAGCACCAAACAGAAAAGACCCCAAAGTTGTAGTAATGATTATTCATGTACTATAATAGTACTCTGTACATGGCCTTTACAACTAACTGTAACTATTCTTTCTCAGGTTTATAACCTGTAAACCTGTTCAACCCAATACATGTTCAAGGATAATGGAGACCATAACCGATCATTTAAGAGTTCCATGGTGCGATGGGCAGGGGGCACGAAAACTGGATCCGGATATTCTCATGGCAGCTGTTCTTCTATTAACAACAATGTTTATTGCTTCCCAAAGTTGGACAGCTACAATTGTAGTATTTGGACTGTTGCCTTTCTTGTTGATTGCTACGTATATAAGATACCTAAAAATTCGTACACAAACCAAGTTTTTTTTTGCATGGACAGTGCTTTCTTTCTCTTTTCTTCTTGGAATTTTCCAGTTTGAAGTTGTCCCATATCTTGAAATTCTATTTTCAGAAAATTTCATTTTAATGTGTTTTGTGGCTATCATGTGTCTTTGTGGCTATCTAACAAAACAAGGACCTGGACAGCCACCAAATGGTGAAGTTTCTGATCAAGAAGAAGGAGCAATCAAAGATGCTGTCAACTTGGTAATTGAAGATCAGAAGACCAAGTGTCGTGTGTGTTCCATTCATCAACCTCACAGATGTAGCCACTGTCGAATCTGCAATCAGTGTGTGTTAAGGAGAGATCATCATTGTGTGTGGTAAGCTCTGAACTTTCTCGTAAGATAGGATGAAAGTCTACGTGTTTGCAGATAATTATGTATCCAGTAAAACCACATGTGGTATATCTAGCCTTTACCTAACATAAGATTTTGAACTGAACAAATTTGTAAACCTTTCTTGCAATATATATATATATTCTGCCACATATAAAGCTTAAAATTCGTAAATTAAATCATCAAATTTTGTTTACCATAATAGCTAAAGCATAGGCAGTGGTGTAACTTCAAACTTGACCCCTCCCAATGTAATAAAACTTTGTTAGTGTTAAAAAATTACCATAGTTATTTACATACAAATGAAAAGGTGTAACAACTACATCAGCTTTAATTACATTTTGTCGGTTACAACTTCTTTCTCTGTGCCTTTATTTCAGGAAAATAATTTAATAATTGCTTGAACATCCATATAACTATAAATGACAGTGAACAAGTACAATAAATTAATGTGTGAAAAATAAAAATTGGGGATTTTGTGCCCCCTTCTTGAATGGGCTCCCCCACATTTCATGGACCGTGGGGACTGTAGCTACACCACTGAGCATATGTTACTGTTTTAAAGTCTGAAACCTAAGAGAGAATAATAATTTTTTTAACCATACAGTAAGGTATTTTCAAGTTCCTATTCAAGACTTAAAACTTGCCGTGGTTGTAAGACTTAAGGATTATCTATCACATTTTGGGTCTGGATGACAGACAACCAATCGTACTTGTCGGTCTTATTATAGGAACAAGTTATGTTTAGCTACACTAGAGCCAGTTTTATTTGGGAACTCGAGACTGGCATGCATTCTTGAGGAAGCTAGTAGCGAAGACATGAATTTGTTTGCAGTTGGCAGGTTGGAGGAGAAATTGGAGGCTATCGTAAACACAGTAAATGCAATAGATAAAGAGATGTGGGAAATAAATGACAGCAGGATTTCAAGAGGAACTTAAGTAAGAGCTACATCAGCTAAAAATGACTTTAAAGAAATTACGAACATCACTATTAGGGTTAGAAGTAATGGGAAGGAAAACCAGTCAGACAGGTACGGATGGGAATGAATTAGTTTTGGAGGTTAAAGTTATTGGCGATTTTTTGTATGACATAGATAGTAGAACTGGGCAATTTAATCAATATAATTGAATATCTTTGATCAACATTTACATGTTGGTAGAAGTGATCATTGCTTAGTTAGGTTTGATGTTGTACTGCACATAATGATGAGATTTTGATTATAAATTTTGAAGGGATGCAACAAGAATTGTCTGTTGTGAAGTGCAAAACTAAATTAATTGGAGACTGATCAAACATGGAAATATTTTTGTGTATTTCTTAAAATATAATTTTAAATATTCAAGATATACATGTTCTTATAGAATGAAATGGTGGCTGAAAGTAAAAAAATCTGCTTGGTTCACAGAGGATTTAATGGATAAAACTAAAGAAAAGCATTATTAGTTTAAATACTCTAGATTTGCTGCAACAACAGGAGGTTTAAGAGGATTATAAAAGAGTTACTATGAATTTATTCCAGGTATCTCTGCATTCCTGCCTTTATCGACTGTACTTAAAGAAATCCTTAGTTTTAATTTTTACACTTTCAACCAAATTTCCTCATGTACCTTATTTGCTAATTTCCTGATGAGAAAATTGAATTTAATATCAAAAGTTCATAAAATTTTATGCTTTATAACATATACAAAAATATGCAGCAAGTCATCTTGGGGAATTCCGTCCATAGCTGTTGGAGTAACAAATGATAAATTTACGACAAGTTATTACTACACGAAAATCAGAAATATGGACAGAAAATTTTTTTATATCATTGCTACTAGCAAGAAATAATGTTTACATTTTCCTTCAAATGTAAGTGTGTTATGAAACAATATTCTTGGGCAACTAAATGGTACATGGCTTTTAATTAAAGTCCATGTGGAGTATCATATTTTCAGTTACAAGTTTGATAGGAATAACCTTAACTGTGTAATAGAAGTAAAGAATCTTGATGGTCTCTTTGATCAGTTTTAAGTCATTCAAGCAGCATGCATTGTGTAAGTGACTGACTAGGCAACATTTGGAGTAAGATGAGGGCATATTAAGATCTCTGAAATTTTGTCTTGAAAAAAGAAAAAAAAGGAGCTAGAAGGGATCTAATTGAGCTGTTTGAGATTGTTACAGAAATTGATAGTGTTGATGCATCATCTTTTTTTTCATACTTAATGGTAAGACTAGGGGACACAAGTTTTGGCAGGATGGGAATCATTTTCAGCTTAGACAGTTTTATTTTTTCTAACAGGTTAATTGTCATGGCATGTGGTGAATGCAGTTAATTTTAAAAAAGGCTTAATAAATATTTGTATCATAAGGGCTGGCTGTGAGAGATTTTCCTTTAAGTTTAGTTAATTTACTGGATGGGATAGCCTAGAAGTCCTCGATGGACCAACAGGTCTCTTGTTGTCCTTAAATTAAAGATCATTTAAGACTGTTTTGGGTCTTTTTTGAAAAGTATTATTGAAACTGCTACTTGCATGTCTCTTTTAGTAGAATGTATTTTTTGAGCCAAATTTTTAAAAGCAAAATACAACACACATCAGAAAAACTTACATGAATGAAGTACAGCTTGGTATTCCAAATTATAAACTGTTGGATTGGTAGTACGTTTGTTAATAATACATATATTTCCTCTCAAACACTGTACATGTTTTTGAGTCTATACTGCCTTGTTGCAAAATATAGACAGTATTTTTTTTGTTAGTAAAATTTATAATGACATAACTTATTACAAGAATGTGTTATTATAATTTACTTTCTTATTAGGTTTTAAAACAAATAAAATATTTCAAAGAGGGATTTGGAAAGGGAAGAAGGATTAGAGCCTTAAGCTGTATCGGCTGAAAGGCCCGTTGTTTCCAGATTGGTTGGACAATATAATGTAGGGTTAAACTTTACAAATATGGCATTGTTAAGTGTAGCAGTGATAAGTGGGTAAACTAACCTTTTCAGTTGTTGAGGTCAAGGTTGAAGAGTGGATAAATACAACTTTCACACACACACACTAAAACACTATAAAGCTGTATCGGCTGAAAGGCCCGTTGTTTCCAGATTGGTTGGACAATATAATGTAGGGTTAAACTTTACAAATATGGCATTGTTAAGTGTAGCAGTGATAAGTGGGTAAACTAACCTTTTCAGTTGTTGAGGTCAAGGTTGAAGAGTGGATAAATACAACTTTCACACACACACTAAAATACGTGTCCATACTATACGTAACATACATTATAATGAGTATGTTCTACAGAGTAATTCTTGTAGTGGTCTCTTTATGTTTCATTAAAGTAATTATGTTTTGTGTGTATAGATTCCAGATTATAAATATGATATGTCTACTAAGCTACGAGCTTTTGTTAAACGAGTAGGAACTACAGCTCCTTCTCTTGATTTTGTAAAGATAGAACTGAAATTGAGTCTGAAAACTGCAGTACATAGTAAAATATGACTCAAGATTAAGCCTTGTACAAGATACAATGGTAACAAATGTTGCTTTTGATTCATCATGATATACAGAGAAGAGAGCCGCGTAATCATATGACTGTTTGTTTTACAGGTTAGACTGTTGTATTGGGACTAAGAATCATCGCTATTTTATCATATGACTGTTTGTTTTACAGGTTAGACTGTTGTATTGGGGCTAAGAATCATCGCTATTTTATCATATGACTGTTTGTTTTACAGGTTAGACTGTTGTATTGGGGCTAAGAATCATCGCTATTTTATCATAGGACTAGTTGCCTTGATTATAGTTTGTTGCTATGGTGCCAACTTAACACTGACAACCATATGTCAACCTAAGCTGGTGTGGGGGACAGTGTATTTGCCAGACAGTTGCAACGATGTGTATGGCGACATTCAGTAAGTACATCAAGGATATTTTACCTGTTAGGTCAGTCCAATTATTAATATCTACGGGTCAAAGAAGGTTGTAGTTATAGTCAAAGTTGTAATATTAAAAAAACAAGTTTACCTTTCCATTTAATTATATATATATACAAAATTACAAAAGTAAGCTTCAAATGAAGATATTTAAAAAAAACACCTTAACATTTTACTAATTCAAAAAAATGGTTTTCTGACCGTATTAGTATACAGCCGAAAGTGTTTCTTCCATTTCTATAGATTTCTAAATTTTATATAATCTTAGAATCAGTTGAAGTTGTTAGTGAATCACAACTTTTCACCTTTTTTAATTGCTCAATATCAATTGTGCCCACTTATACTTAACAGTTTTCCTCTAAACACTGGCCTGAACAATGAATGTTGATTCAAAATTTTCTCACATTAAAGTGGTCTATCTCGTAATTTGGTGACTATCTATCATTTTTAACTTATTTCTTCATAACCTATGCTTCAATATATCCAGCCTTGACATTTCTAGTTATAGTAAAAATTCTTTGATGCATTTAAAAAACAAAGAACAAGGGTCCAAAATATAGGAATTTTATTGACTTTTTTTTTTATTATTTAGATATATTAGCCCACTTTATGCCAAAATCACTTTTAATATTATCCATCACTCAGCTAGAAAAATATCATTTCACATACCATTTACGCCAAGTACACATTCCCTGGAAGCAGGTCTTGTAAACCCTCAATCCTTAGTTTCTATTTGAGAGTGGGCAAATAGTAGTTGCCAACAATTCTTACATAATCTGCTGTAAAAATATTTCTTCACACGAGTAAATACTATGCCCAGTAGCTTCCACTATTTCATGTTCCTATTTATTGGTCCATCACACTTTTGTGAGAGGCCTTGAAAGATTTGATTCTTCTATAGAATGCAGGAAGACTGGTATCAAGGCTTGTGAAGGAGATACAGAGCATCACTGAATACTCTGGCCACAACAGCCTCATGCATTTGTATAAGGTGTCAAATCGTTTGGACATCATCTTGGAACGACTACTGGCTGATGATTACTTAGACTATCAACTACATAAGGAATAAGGCTTGACACAGTGTATAAAACCATCAATGTGTTGACAAGTGGCCAATGCTTGTGCACACTAATACATTCTTGGTACTTTTCTCTACATACCATCTAAAACTAGAATGGTAACATTTTTGGTCCCTTTTCTAAGATGGGATATCAAAGCTGGTAGGTTCAAATCGAACATACATAGGAAAATAATCTCTCGCCAAGTCAGTATGAACCAAGTGTGTTTCTCTCTTTACAGTAAAAATGTTTTCCAAATCCTGAATTGAATACAAACATCTGTTAGATAAGCCAGTATTACAGTTTGACAAGAACTTCCATGCAGAGTTGCACCTTTATATGGGCACTCCTCAAAGGTAGAACCCTAGAGGACAGGTCATCACACTGAGAATTACTCAGTTCAGTCAAATTAAAGATTTACCATCAGTTTGTTACCTGGTTTTCTGACTGCATGTGTGCTCTCCAAAAGATCAACCGTGCCCATTCTCTTACAGTTGGAATGGTCTTTCATCTTTACACTACTTTTTATCCAGGCAATCTGGGCAGCACCAGGCTCCAGCAAGGTTAGCAATAACATGCAAAGCAAATACTTGGGTTTGTGATCCAAGTTGAGTGTATTTTGTTGATATAACACTTTTGGCACGAGTTTTCCCTGATGACTTAAGGAGCATCGCCCTATCATCTAGAAGGAACATCATCAGATGCAGTGCATTTAGAATAATAATAATAATACAGTTAATAGCATTTTTTGTACAAAAGATACCATCCCCTGCAAGGTACTAAGGCTTGTGATACATAGAAATGTGCACCCAAAGGGAGATGTCAGAGTAAAACAAACAACCAGGGTCTAACAAGAAAATGAATTTATTATATTTTGACAACCACAGAAATCCAAAATCAAACTTGCAAATAGTTGGAATATAAAGTTTGTTACTTACCAAATAACACAGTTCGCTAGAGGGGCACTCGGTAGAGTGCATACCTCTGTCACACAGTGTTCATCATATTCGGTTCTCAAAAAATATGAAAATATGTCCATCATTATGAACAGACACAGACCATTTTTGGTAGGACATTGAGGAATAATATTCTACTTATGTACACCAAGTTTCATCAAAATCCGATCATTTTTGACTGAGTTATAGAGTAAAAATAGTTTGAAAATTTTTTACCTATGTTAACATATAGGTATATTTTGGAATTTTATGATCTTGCTGTGACCTTGACTCTCCAAAAACTAATCACTTCTAATTTGGGTCATAGTCCAAATGTATACTAACTTTCATCCAAATCCATTTAGCCATTAACAAGAAATCTTGCTAACAAACACACACAGGTGTGAAAATATAAATTAGCCCCGCAGAACTAAACAAATTCTCGCAGGACTAGACAAATTCTCGCATGCTGCAACTTCATTGGTATTTGCATGATCGTTTTCAGTGAAAATAAGTCCACATCCACATGATTTAACACATAAAACTACTGAAAAAACAACTTGGCTTTCCCACTGCCAGATTTATATTTGGATACACACAGAAAAATATGGAGTGGTTCATCATATCTTGCTCATTATTTGTCATATCAATTTAAACGTTTTGTGTTGGTTTAAGGTAATTGCCTGAAATATTTCTCGTATTGTAAGAAGTATTAAGTAAAATTAAAATATTAAATAAAATTATTATTCATGCATTTATTTGCAAGACTTGAAAATTAATGTACAACATTTATGCTGGAGTAATTAATTAAAAGTTACTAATTTTTAACATTTACCTTTTTTCTCTGAATGTTTACTTAATACGACACTTTTACAGGGCTAAAACACAAGTTATATAGTGAGTTCCATACAGGAGCATGTAGCAGTTCTGTATTTGTTTCCATGGTAGTAAACATGTACCATTAATTGAGTATCTGTGAAATAGTGTGGCTAGTTTTGGAGCAACTATTTATTAACTATACATATATATTTATAGAGATAATGCAAAGGCATGTTAAGTTGGACATCTAAAGAAAAGAGTGTAACTTAATCGTATCTTTGTGCTTTGCATGATATTAAACAAAAGAAATTTCAGACAATTCACTAAAGATGAAGTACCAGATTATGAGAGATATTAGTATAAGAAAATAGAACCCACACCGTGGTAAGGATACACAGTATATCCAATTTACCCCCTTCACAAGTCTCACATGTGAATTGCAAATATGAAAAAAACTAAAATTTAGGACCACGTATCGGTGTTATAGCCTACAATGTAACACATATACGATTACCATTAACCATCTGCAGCCACTTGTCGGAAGGTACAATCTCACAGTGAAACAGACAGACAAGGATTTGGATATGATTACTAACCTTAAGTTTTTACCCTGGTTTTATTCATTTGCCTTACAAGTAGTTTTGTTTTGGTTTAGGCCTTGTTATGTGGATTGTTTTTATATATTTATAAAAGTGTGCAAAATAAGGTAAAAAAATCAGTGTTGACTGAAATATGCTATCAACTTAGTAACACAGAGTTATGTGGTTTGTGATACCAGAAAAAAACACTAATGGTGATGGGTATGTTAAAATCATTGTTACCAAAATATTTTCTTATATTCAACTCAAAATTATCATAAGATAAAAACCCCAAGTTTGTTAATCACCGCTTCAGTCTCCAGAGTGATTTTGTAGATTGTTTCAGGAGATCATAAAATGTTTTCTATTTCTTTTTTGAGGCAGTCATAATTTACAATCTGATCAACCACATTTTGTGATTAAAAAAAAACAACATATGAAACAAAGGAAAACGTTTAAAATAATTAATTTCTCAATCTAATACAATTATGTTTAGGAATACCTAAATAATCCTATTCAAAATTTTCTGTTGCAGTGAAACATTTATCACTATAGAATAACTGTAGGCTGATTGGGATTTGTTTAGAACAGTTTATGCGAGTATGTTTTTGTGGAAACAGCCTTTTTTTTTTAGCTTTAAATTAAGCAAACAACTGTAAAGGCTTCATTGCATGTATGTTTGAATTGTTGAAATCTCATTGTACACTCACTAGCCAAACTATTAAAAACCTTTATCTAAAGAATAGACCAGTTATCAGTCTCATTACTTAGAATTTATACAAAATAGATAATTAAATGTTAGCAAAATAAAACTTCCAGCAGTCTAATAAATACAGGTGGTAATTTTTATGATCATCAGTTATCCTTATAACTGGAAAGATTTATCAATCTCTGAACAAGATGTTATTGTTGGAGACTTAATTGTCAGAAGCCTCAGTTGTGAAAGTGGTTGATTTGCAAATCAGAAGCCACTGTGCCCAGAGTTCACACTAATAGGGGAAACTTTGATCAGAAGAAAGAGCTATGAAACAAAGATAGGAGCCAAATATTGGGTATTGGTTGATGTTACAGACATTCCACTGTGTAGGAACTAATGGAGAGGGAAAAACCACAGTAAACAGAACAAACTCTCAGAAGTCTGATATTAGAGAAACTAGTTTTGACACATTCGTGCATCCTCTTCAATCTCACATTGTCTTCCGTAGTAGCCAAATATTGAGTATTGGTTGATGTTACAGACATTCCACTGTGTAGGAACTAATGGAGAGGGAAAAACCACAGTAAACAGAACAAACTCTCAGAAGTCTGATATTAGAAAACTAGTTTTGACACATTCGTGCATCCTCTTCAATCTCACATTGTCTTCCGAGACTGAAGACGATGCACGAAAGTGTTGAAACCATCACGGTTTGTTCCATTTACTGTGGTTTTTCACTAATTGACGTACACGATATTGTGTTCATTTAGTATTATAACTAATGGATAATTTTAGTAATGGTCCAAGAACACCCATTTCCATCAGAATAAAATTAACTTTGGTAAGCATCAACAGGATTGAACTTTTGCCCAGTATAAATGTGGTTAGATGAATCACACTTTACACTGTTCTGTTGAAATGATAGGATGAAAGTGTGACAACAACCCAGCAAAGTCATGGACCCACCCTGCATAGTGTACAAGGTCTTGGAGGTGGTGTAATAGTTTGAAACTCATTTACATTAAGTCTACCCGATTTCAAGACAACATTGATTAAGGACTGGTGAAAGATTGAAGCAGATACCTTCCAGACAGAGATGGAGTCAATAATATCCAGGCTGTAATTAAGGCACATGATGGCCTAACATATTATTAGGTTGTTTTATTTTAATATTTGACTAGTAAGTGTATGCATACCACTAAGTTCTTTTTCTGCATGATTCGAATATATGTTACTTATCAGTCTTCAATCATTCTCTATCATATGAAAAATGTCATGTACAAGTTAGAATATTTTTTTTAATTGTCCAAATTCTAACTAATAACAAGTACTTTCCATATTTGTTTCTTCCAGCATTGCCATGTGTTTTGTTAGTGCTGTCTATGCTCTCCTTATTGCTGCCTTGGCAGTCCTTGCTCTAGGCCAACAGCTTTGGTTTATTTGCTGTAACACAACAGTCCAAGAGTGGAGAAGAGGACGACAAGGTCATTACAGTCATGGCATTCTCTGCAACTGCTGGAAGTTCTGGTGTGGTGGAAACCTTTAACTTAGGTGTACAGTACAGTGTAATTCTAGTTATATTGTATCATATTAATCACCTCATTTTTAAAAATTTAATTTGTCATAACTATAACATATACAGCAGTGGTCCCCAATAGGTCTTTGAAAGCCTGATTCACAGCCCACACTATGACCAGATATTTTAAAAGTAAGCAAAACTCCATCTGGAAAATGACGTATTCTCCAACAAGGTCAGGCCCACTATAGAAGATAATTGGGGACCACCGACATACAGCGTATTCCTCTACAAAAGGTTTTATTACAAACTTCAGGCTTGTAGAAAAGAAAGATAGAAGTATCTAAACACAATTGGAAACTGGTTCAAGGTGTGCTTAGAATTGAAAGGTTCTGACACCTCAAAGTGTCCCTAAATACATTTTAAACAAGTTTTAAATGGCCATAAATGTTTAACTGTAGTAATTAAATATTAATTGTATGTAAATACTTGTACATCTATTCATGTTTGTGCAACATGATTTTAGTTCTAAGTTATAAATAAACTGGATCAGGTTATCAAATGTATTCTCTATGTAGCCTGATCCTTGAATATTTTAAGTATGATTATCCTACAAGTATATATTCTTTTATCTTCTTTACAGGAAAGTGTGGTCTGTATTTTGAAAATATAAGAGAATGTTAATACATACTGTTGAGGATAAGAAAGATTGATCATTTAAAAGATGTAGGTTACAAATTTTGTAGAGACAAATACTTCGAAGATGTTTTCACATCTATTCATAATATAAAACATCAATTCTCAGCAAAGATCTGAAGAAATCAACATTGAAGACAAAGCTACTAGTGTAAAACCTTATAACTAAGCATAATTAACATTACAAAGAACTCTGACTAAGGGAAAGTTATTGTGGCCACTATTAATATGTAAGTATATATCTGATGAATTATTTTTATCCAGAACAAGAAGAAATGAGATTATTTTGAATATAAATTTTTATAATTCTATTTTGTCAGACTTAAGCGAACTTGATATAAAATGAGAGAAATTGTGTTTTTCTTTCCTATGCTTTGAATGTCGAATATGTACATGCAAAAGGAACCATTATGTTTTGAATATTGTGTTGTAACATAAGTAGGTTTTATTGAGTCCCATAATTTACTTCAGTTCTCAAATGAATGTTACATCTAGCACAGATTGTTTTATTACTTTTATATGTTTGTTTACTTCTTATGAACGAGCCTTTATTTTATAACTCCACATTATTTGATACTTGAGTTACAGGGATTTATAATGAACAAGTTTCCTTTTTGTTTTTACAATATTTGAATGTAACAAACCAATTATGTGTGTTTTTAATAGTTGTTTTATTATATTTTAATGTTCATTAATTCTCGTGCCAACATTTTCTTAACAGATGGTCTGTGTTCCAAGTTTCACACAATATTTACATAAACATGTGTACGAGATACTGGTTTTTAGAACCAATTAGTTTTGTTTTTTAATCTAATGGCTTATATATACAATTGAAAAATTAAAACTTTCCACCAGGTCTTGCAATCATTAAAATCCTATTCTGTGAAAAAAAAAAAGAAACTTTTAAAAAATCAATGGAAATTAAGTATTCTACGCAGAGTTAATATTAAACAGTAAATTATTCTCAAGAGGTTCTATCTGTGTTACTACAGATTTTTAACTTTGTAGAAAAGAATGCTAGAAAACACATTATTACTTGTGCAGTTGTATGTTAATAGTTAGTGATAAGAAGCAGTGTTTTGCATAAGTTGAGATCTTCTATACCTATTGGAAAAGTATTGACTTTATGCTGTCCATAGTACACGTAAACTGCGTTAGACTAAATGTGAACTAAAGACTCTTTACATCAGCCACAGTTGAAAAAACTTTCATTTTAGAAACTGTTTTGGGGGTAATGACCCCGTATTTAAAACTCCGAAGGGTTTTAAACTGCAGAATTACAGTATTAAATGAGAAAAGTAATGAGCTTGTGATAATTATGTGCTTTTAATGTTGTAATTACTTAGATTACGTTCCATAACCTGTCATTTTAAAAGTGATTAAAGATTAGTTTACTTGAAAGTGCCAAGTGGACATAGATCACTGAACATACATTTTTTTTTTTGGACTTGATAAAAGTTGGTGATTTCAAAGATAGATCTTTCTATAAAATGTAAGTGTAATCATGCTTTGTTAATCATTTTTGAGGAATATAATACAAAAAAAAAAATGTTTATGAGAAGCCCATCAATCTTGTGATTATAATAATTGGGTATAGTAATTAATTTATTAATTTGACTCCATTAAACCAGTAGTATATCTTCGATATATGTGGCTTATATTTAATGTGAATATTATGGTTGTATATGTATATCTGTAAGCCTGCTGTAATTTATTTATTTCTTATTTAGCAAGACTGACCATCATCTTGTTAGGTTTATACATATATATAGTTACTGCCATAGAAATATCTTTCATTTTCATGTTAATAACATAATAGAGAACCATCGGCATAATGTAAATATAGCAATTACTCTACTGAATTCAATAAATTTTTACTTGATAAATTGCTTTCATATATTCAATATCCAAGAAAATAAAAGTCTAAACACGTATGTCTTTGATTACATACATATGTAGTTCCAGGCTGCATTCATGGTGTAGAAATAGAATATAGTGCTATTTGTACTTGCAGATTTTCAACATTGTAAAAAACTCCATATTTATTTATCTCTGAGGCTGCCCTAGAATGAAGTACTGGTTGCCAACATGCTACACCTATACTTCTCATGAATCCTGTATTATGCTTTTCTTTTTTTATATAGCAGATGTTTTTGAAGTTTGTGTTTCAGTTGGCTGAAAAGTTTGAACCTGTGATGGATCACCTGAAAATGCACTTACAAAGTTTAATGCTTCACAAGGCAGAGTTCTTTTGGTAGAAATTGAATGAAATGCTTCTCAAGACACACTAAGGTTTGTTTATGGGAAAAACTGCATTATTCTACTGGTGTACAGGATGTAAAATTTTGACTGATACTTGGTTTATTATAGCCCTATTTTTTTTTAAGATAATATTTATAAGCCTGACACTGAATAGTAGAGCTTTGGTTAGCTGAAACATATCGTGAGTTGTTGTTAGTGGTGTCATCCATCAACTATAAGCTTCTTTCTACCTTTGTCTGTCTTGTTTATTCCACCATAAGAATAGATAAATACTATCTGAATATTATATAAATGATAGGTAATGGTTCCTGCTAATTTTATTAAAACCCAAAAGAAAAGAAAATATATGCCGATTTATCTTTAAATAGAGATTGTCTAAGAGTCTTAATTTTTGTTGAATTGGTTTCATAAATTACCTTCATGAGGTGGGAGCAAGAAAGAGTTTTTTGGCATCAGCATTAAAAATAAACCAAACAAATTCACTTTTGTGGCCAGAAATATTACACACAAAAAAGTATTATATAGTGTGTGTTGAAAAACCTTATAAAGTATACAACTTCAAATGAAATAGTATTCACATGTACAGGTTTCTGCCACACAGCATAGGCTTACGTGTGTATCTTAACGAAACTGGGTTCGGCTTGTTGGTTCTAAATATGTATTTTTCATTAAGTATTCTCTTATCAAATTCAAAAACAAGTTTCATAAATTAGTGCACACATACATAGAATAATTAAATGTTAAAGTCCCTATTTCTAACCAACAAAAACATTAATAGCAATGCTGTGAGTTCAGCTTAATACATTATAGGGTATACTTATTTGAATAAACGAAAAATAACTTTATGGAAACATGTTTCTTACTACTTTATATACACTGTGTATATTGAGGTTAGTCACTTTATAAAAACACTGTTGTAGATTCTTGTTGCTCTTGAAACTCCGTCTTCCAATGTGGATCGTGCTCATGCTGATGTGATTATCAGGTATTATTGCTAAGCATTACAATTTCCATTTTAACAAGCTTCTGCAATCTGTCCATTGAATGTGAGCATGTTTAACCAAAGGCACAAATGTCCATTAGGGCTAATCCTCGGGAACTTTACAAATATATGTCGTGGTTGCTGTAATTTCAATTTCATTGGATATCCTTGTCACGGAAAGACACTGATTTTCAAGTTTACCTGGAAGACTAGACTTCTGGCTGGTAAGCCTTCATCTTTTTTTAAGTTTTCTTTGTTACCTGGTGCAAGAGAACTGGACTTTTAGATGGGAGTCTTCACCAACTTCAAGTCTTGTTTGTCAACGCGCCAGAAGCTATGGATGATATAGATATAGCGAATTCTATTTTGTAACCATAACTTAGGTAGTTGATTCGGATCGAGTTTGGGTGTTGTCTTGGAGCCTGGTATTGCCCAAAACATACTATTGTGCGAGTTCTACTTCGATTACGAATATTGAAGGTTTCATTCTTTGAAAGATGTATCATTAGGCCTAAGTCGTTTAATAATATCGCCGTGTGAAAATACTATTATATCCCTACCTATGGTGATATTGCACTATCGGATGGAACTCGTTCTGAACTAAATTTGTAGGTGCCGCTGATGTTGCCCTTAGCACTAAGCCATTGCTTTAGCATGTACAGATTCAAAAAGTGCAATCAACCATTTGTACTTGTATAGGAGGCTATCATTAATTTAATTCAAACTGTATAAAAATTAAAACTGCTCAGAAAACATGTTTTAGATGTACATTCTAGTCCCCACTGTATATAGTTGCGCCATCTAGCGAGCATACCTTTATCAAACTGTGTTGTAGTTTAGATTTAGAAACTTGCTCATTTGTAGTTTTTCGAATGGTACAAGAGGTATATGTTGAAGTGTTAGCGAGATTATTGTACTTTACTGATGTTTGAACACTGTTGAAGTTGGTGCACATTTAGTCTTGTAACCATATGTATCACTCAATAAACCTACTGCCTCATGTTATATATATGTTTAATGTTGCAATATTAATTAATATATACATACGTTTTTGTTTTTTGAAAAGCACGAAACTACACAATCGGCTATTCGTTCTCTGAATACTATATGCATAAAATCCTATTTTTAAAATTATAAGACCTCATACTTACAGGGGAGTGGGGGCTATACATGTACGAGTTGTTTTTTTGTTTTTTCAGCTTACTTATTACCAACAACTCCCTGTAATCTTGTGTTATCTGACCACAATAACACGTAATTCATTTACTGGTTGACGTCTATTATATTTTTAAATAAGGCATATAAAGTGATTATTGTAGTTTATTTGCCTTTCTATTTTAACGACATTTAGAAATATTATGTACATCTACGTTGTTCATGGGACAGGTAGTTAAGCTAGTCACATCCATCATCTTGTTTTTAAATTAATAAAACGCGAAAATAATAATAGCAGAATCGCAGGGCTGTTTGACAATTACAACAGTATTCGTATTTCAAAGATTCCACATAACACAAAAATAATCAAGGGCGTGTTGTTTTTAATAATGAATATATATGGGAATACAACTTAATTGGTTTAAGTAAAAGTAAAGACATTTATATAAACTATTAACGCAGTTAGGATAAAACTGAAAAACCACGTTTATGCTTTTTTACTACAATAGATGGCGTCATCATCATAGTTGCATGGTGAAGTTAACATCTTTCAATCCCAGTCTTGTTGCACATTGGTAATGGTCAATTTTGTTACTAACAATATTAAACTAAAAAAAATATTATTCTGCAAACTCCCATTACATCCTGGGAAGTGGTCATTCAAGTATTACCAGTACAGAATAGGCTTTATCTTTTCAATTGGATCTCAAAAATAGGAAACCTATGTCCAAACACACAGCTGTCATTAATGGTAACGATAAAAAAAAAAAGTGAATTGTTGTAAAATAAGCCACGAGAGGTTTTCACGTCACTTCAGAGATATCAACAAAAGGACAGGAGAAAACTGAATTTACTTATGAAGTAGCAGATCGTGTATCACAATAAATCGATTTTTTTTTCTCTCGTTCCCTCGGTTTTATTTTTGACATAAACTGCTCCACAATGAAATAACACTACACACATACACAAAAAAATAAATAAAACAAAATACGCAACCGAGTCATAATCTAGCAATTCAAGAATCTTTTTCACCGATAAAAGGTGGTTGAATTGCATTATTGGCACTTCTTTTGGTAGCATGATGTGTGAATGAATTATCATATCTTGGATATATTATCAGATTAATAGGCTTTTCAGGTTATTTACTTTTTGTCAGGCCGAAGAATTCCCGAAATACCGTTCCTTTCATAATTTCGCGCAAGTCACTTATTTTGAATGGAAAGACTAAAGGGGAGACAAGCTAATCAATAGCACCTACCATCAACTCTTTTTCCACCCTTGTGTTAACGAGTAGTGAGATTTGACCGTCGTTATTCTTGTGGCCCTAAAGTACGTTTTTGTATTTATGTGTAGCGAACTACGTACCCTCGGAATCACAGTCCAAGCATGCTAAGCTCTAAGCCAAAACTGAAACAATCTTAACGCTGCATGGAAAGAAGTTATTATTTACTCTTTAGAATAACTGGGATTCTCGGTTAATTAATAGACTTACTAAAGACAAAAATAATTCGAATACTGTTACATTATTGATAGGTTCCATACATTAATATATGAAAATAACACGACATTTACTCGTCGGCACCATTAACAAGTAACACAGTCACTAAAAATGATATCTCATTCTATTATCAGGTACGTGATGTATAAACAGGTTAATATACCTCATTCTATTATCAGGTACGTGATGTATAAGTAGGTTAATATACTTCATTCTATTATCAGGTACGTGATGTATAAACAGGTTAATATACCTCATTCTATTATCAGGTACGTGATGTATAAGTAGGTTAATATACTTCATTCTATTATCAGGTACGTGATGTATAAGTAGGTTAATGTACCTCATTCTATTATCAGGTACGTGATGTACAAGTAGGTTAATATACCTCACTGTATTATCAGATATGTGATGTATAAGTAGGTTAATATACCTCATTCTATTATCAGGTACGTGATGTATAAACAGGTTAATATACTTCATTCTATTATCAGGTACGTGATGTATAAGTAGGTTAATATACCTCACTGTATTATCAGGTACGTGATGTATAAGTAGGTTAATAAACCTCATTCTATTATCAGGTACGTGATGTATAAACAGATTAATATACCTCATTCTATTATCAGGTACGTGATGTATATGTAGGTTAATATACCTCACTGTATTGTCAGGTACGTGATGTATAAACAGGTTAATATACCTCATTCTATTATCAGGTACGTGATATATAAGTAGGTTAATATACCTCATTCTGTTATCAGGTACGTGATGTATATGTAGGTTAATATACCTCACTGTATTATGAGGTACGTGATGTATAAGTAGGTTAATATACCTCATTCTATTATCAGGTACGTGATGTATAAGTAGGTTAATATACCTCATTCTATTATCAGGTACGTGATGTATATGTAGGTTAATATACCTCACTGTATTATCAGGTACGTGATGTATAAGTAGGTTAATATACCTCATTCTATTATCTG